TCAACCAAAACATTAATAGTTATCAATTACAAGCATTCTAACCTTTTGCTATTAATAGGGAACTAATTTACCTCATACATGTAGCACTCTAACATGCAATAGCCAAGGCACATAAAGCAAGGAGTATAGCTATACAATCATCATCATCATCATCATTTAGTTCAACCACATAATAGCACATGAAATCGCATAGCAATCAATGCAACATTCAACATTAAGGTCAATTAAATTTTACTACCTTAATCCAATGCTCTTTGATTTTCTTGTTCTTCTTTCTTGCTTCCACAAATGCCAAACCCTAACATGGCAATCCATAAAAAACGCAGCAAGAATCATCAACCATTCCTCATAAAAATCAACAACATAACTTAAGGACAATCTTTGTCCCTTAAAGCATCCAACTTTGTTTTTTAATTTTTTACAGTTTGTTTCCTTAAACCCTAAAAATTCCCTCTTGACTCATTCCTACATGATTTTTCATATAGATTCCAAATATCTACTTAGGTTTATCAAAATAAAATCCCTTCTTCTAGTTTTGAGCTGACCGAACCATTAGGGTTCAAAATCCAAAAATTGCAACTTTGATTCTATGGCTTCCAACACTTGTTCTTTAGGTTTACCCTATACCATTTTTCATTTTGAACACAATAGAAGCCTCAAAAATTTGAAAAACACATCCTAGGGTCCGGATCTTACTTTGACCGAAATGGTTCTCATGCAACATAACAAAGAAAACACTTCAAAATCAACCTACAATCACTTGTAACCACTAGGATCTATCATACTTTGAAGTGTTGTAGCAAGATTTAACAGCCAAACTTTCTTCCCCACTCAATAAACATTTCGGCCAGCTCAAGAAAAAGGGGAGAACCAGAAATTCTAACCATACAACTCAAGAGAATCAGGCAAGGAATGACATAGAATCATCTACTAATCTTAACTCCAAGCTTACTTGATCCAAAGTGGTTGATTCTTCCTTGTTTCCACCTCAAGCTCTCTCTCTTTCCCTCTCTTCTTGCCTTAGCCGAACCATATCTAGAAAATAGAGGAGGAGGAGCTCATTAATGTGCACAAAATATCCCACCAACCAACATTAATGATTTGCCAAGTGCCATATGCCTATTTAATCTTAATCCTCTCTCTTAATTAACTTAAATCATAATGTAATTAAATTCCAAAGTCAAGATCCTCTCCATTGGTGGCTTGACACTTGGAAAGCTTTAATTACCATCTATTAGAGGCTTGACAAGTGGCAACTTGTGGGCCAAGTAAAGTACAAGACTCTAGTCTTCACTTTATCGGTGTATTTTTACTTCGGGTTTAACTTCTTTTCTATAATTACAGTGCTCTGGCCTCTGTAATTATTTTCTGTCAAATCCATAAATTATTCTCCTTATTTTTATCTTTCCAAATTGCCCTCTTTGTCTCCAAATTTAATTTCCCAATTATTAAATAAAAAGAAAAACTAATTTCCTTCTCTTTAGTGATTTTTCAAGTTTCAAAGGAATTGGAAAAAATCTTAGATACTTGAGGGTCTTATTTTAATTTCATAATTTCTTATAATTCTTTAGGATATCATAAGAATTCTCTTGGGATTTTATTCTCCTTCTAATTAATTATTTGGAATTTTTCAAATAAAGGACCTTAAACTAGCTTAAATCGCCTTAAATTCCTTTGTAATTTCTCTAAGAGCAATTTGGTCATGAAACCAATTTTATAATCCCATATAATTCTCAACGAACATTATCCTTATTTTTTCTTAATTTTCTGAGGCTTAGAAATATTTTTTTCATAATTAATTTTGACCAATTTTCCTTAATTAGTCAAATTTCTATAATTGGCTTGGAAAACCGTAATAATTATTTTCCACCAAAATTCTTCTATTTCTCCTTATCATTTTTGACTTTTAATTATTTAGGAATATCCCTATTCCTAAATGCCATATTACTGGATGTGACATCCAACATGGCATCTCTATAAATTAAAAAATGTTAACATGATTATTTTAATATAATTAAAAGCCTAATTATCAGTCCCTTTGCATTTCCTTGCGCAGGATAATATGATTTTCAATTCTGGAAAATGAACCAAAAAAAAAACTTTGCTCTTCTCATTATCAATTCGAAGAAAGATTCTTTCCAAGCCTTCTATATTCCGTGGTGAAAGCTATTAGCAAATATTATTATTCAGAAAAAAAAAAAAGAATGAGTTATTCAATGGATCAAATAGACATATAACAAGAAGCGGAAGTTTGCGTGGAGTAGATCAGTTCTATTATTGCTTGATCGGTGATCGGCCAGTGTTAACTACTACTACCTCCAATCTGTAATATAAGAGTTATTTAATTTTTAATTTGGTCATAAATATAATACCTCAATTCGTTTTGTCTCTCATATTTATCTATTTTTCGTAAGATAGTTATTGTAATAGTTGCACATGTTAAATGTTTCATCAAATGATAGTTCTAACTAATACGTATGATTAGCAAGGGTATTTTAGGGAGGACAATATTTATTTATTACAAATAACTAACTTAATAAATTTTCTTAATCTACTCAAATTAGTCAACTAGCCTTTATATTAAGAAGTGGAGGTAGTATTATGTTGCTTTTGGTTTAGGTTTATGGAGGTTAATGATTAAAAAAAGGTGGAAAGATTTGTCTACCCAAATTAAAAAAAAAAAAAACCGGAGAGTGGGGAGACAAGTTTGAGCCGATGGGGAGGTGCTCACAGTAACATGCAGCAAGCACGTAGGAGCTTTCTATTTATGCTAGCCTGCCACAATCAAGAAGACGCAGAGGGGCCTAGGGCTTTTCACCAAAAAAAAAGAAAAAAGAGCCTAGGGCTTTTTTTTTTTTTTAATCCTAAAATGACATTTTAACCTGTATATGAAAAATATAATTGTCATAAAATTATTAATTGAGACAAATAACATGTAGGATGTCACTTCATCCTCATTAATTTGACGTGGCAATTTCTGTCAATAAGTTACGGCCAAACTAACAGAAGGGGGCTTAACAACTAAAATTAAATTGTCAGTGAGGTCAAATTTAAAATTTAAAACATCAATGAGGTTATATGTAATTGACCTGAAGTTATGAGGGATTTTATATCATGATATTAATAACTGTATCATGATTTATTAATATCAAAAAAATTTTCAAAATAATTAGAGTTATGTCAAGAAATCCTGGTATTATGAACTTTTTGGAAGACTGAAACTGCATAATAGATATATATATATATATATATATATATATATGAAGAATATAACACGTATTTATACGCAGATCGTAACACTCAATGAACGAATGCCAGAAGGCCACCGGGAAACAGTAGCTGAATGTTGGGGTGGAATGGAGGCCTGGAGCTACAATGGGGCAAGCGAGGGTAGGATTGTAAGTTTGGGAAAATAGTTTTCTTCCAAAAATCTCTCTAATATTGGAGAGAAAATTTAGGAAGAAAAACACATGAAACTCCACAGGATTAGCATATTTTAATGGTTGAGATTTTAATTTTTATAAATTATTTATAAAATTTTTAAAAAAATATTTAGGGCATTTGCAAACCATTGAAATTAAATTTTAATAGAATTTGTAATTTATTATTTGTTTATTTTTATAATTTAATATTTTAATGAGAGTCTTAAAAAAAAGGTTAAATCTCAACCATTAAGGTATTAATCTAATAGTTAGAAGAAAAAAAAAGAGGAAAAAAATGTAAAGGAAAGATGAGAGGTTCCAAACTAGACTTCGAATCACATGGGACTCGAACCATTTTTTTTCTTTCCACTTTTCTCCTCCCCTTATATTCTCCTCTAATTCAAATAAGAGAAAACCCATTTTCCCCTCTACCTACTTGTTGACCCTCTTCCTTTTTTCTTTTTATCCCATCGAAACATAATGTAAACGCGTAAAAGTTGGTTAAGATTTACTTTAGTTTTTTTTCCCCTAAAAGTACTCTTATTAATTTACACATATTAAAGAAAGGTTTTCATGTTATTTTTTCTATTATAAATGATTAAAGAGGATATATATCTAAAAAAGATCAACACACAATTTTTAAAAAATAATTAATTTAACTAGTTTTCTTAATATTTATATATTAGTTATTTAATTTTAAGATTTAACATCAAAAAGAGTATCTAGTATCTACTATTAATATTTGATACATCTAGGCCACACCTCACTCTTCTTACCCTATTCTCTTTCTCTCTAAATCATGTTAAATACTTAAACTATATCAATACAAATCAGTTATGTAATTAATTACCACATATCTAGCAACAGTTTTGGGACTCTTCTAATCCAAATATTCAAATTTTATTTTGCTTTTTAATTAATTATGTTTTGTTTAAATTGACTCAATAGCTTCCGATATGTCGTATTTATTTATTAATTCCAAAACATTGAAAATATATATAGTAGAATATATATACTAGAATATGATTTAAAATATTAACAGCTTCATGTGACTATTGTTTTCAATTTTTGCAGTAGACTTGTCTTTGGGCAAGGCACAACATATTGGTCCCATTTGATACAAAGCATTTAAAAAATAAGTAAAAATTGGGATTAGAATTAAGAAAATCTATTAAAAGAGTGTTTAGTATAAAGAATTGTTTGTTACTTGGAACTGGACAAACCTATATAGGTGGGATTGGGGAATACCATAAGAATGGGTGGTATTCTCCAATCTCACTTACATTGATTTGTCTAATCCTATTTAACAAGAAATTGCTCATACTAAAAATTTTTAAATGGTTTTTTCAATCTCAATCCCAATCCTTATCTCTTATTCTCAATGTTTTATGCCGAGTGAAACCACTAGTCCACTAACTAGTGTCTATGACTACTTTTTCGGCGAGAATAACTTATTTTCATAGCGCATAAAACTTGTTTGAATTATTGGGACATCAATAAAGTTTGAATTATTGGCACATCAATAAAGCCCTATATAAAGAGAGTAAGACAGTATTAGTTTGCGTAAAAACACACAACATGGAGATTGAAAACCAATGTGAAGATCACCATTCAGAGCAGTCCAGAAGAGGAACTACCTTTTTCAAAACTTGTTTCAATGGACTCAATGCCTTAGCAGGTCTCTCTCTCTCTCTCTCTCTGCCTCTGCTATGCCTTCGTCGTATGTTTCTCAGAATTACAAAACCATAATTATATTGTTGAAAATGTTTTCTTTAGCTCGTGGAAGTTAGGACAACGTGAATAGTAAGATATACTCTGAAAGAATATCACCAGAAAAAAAAAAAAGAAATACTCTGAAAGAATTGGCAAAACCTTACAAACATAAAGGTCTTGGATTAGCGTGCATGAAAAATTCAGACATCAAAGTTCAGAACCTTATTTACTTTGAAATTTTGGATTGCTATTTATTTGAATTTTCTTATAGTGTTCTTTAAGTTATTCATCATGGAGCCACTTGGTTTAAAATACGATGGTTAACCTTATGTTTGCTATAAGGAAAATGGGGAGAAGGAGAGAGGAGAAAAAAATTTAATAACCTCAATTTAAAAAAAATTAAAAAAGTGGGTTTTATAATTTTAATGATGAGAAAAAGATAAAAAGATAATAAAAATTAATTAAAAGCTTTTAATTCCCTTCTTCAATTTTTTAAAATTAATTAAAATTTTTCATCTCGTGACTTCCCCTTCATTTCCCTCATACCAAATGCACAAAATGAAAATTACTGAGGTCCCAAAACAAAATGTCACCAAAAATTCTAGTTACATGCAACTAAGGTGAATCTTGTCGTAATTTATTGTGCTGAAACTTATCATTCAATTATTATTAGACTTTTTAAAAATTATATTTCTTCTTTGAAAACACATGAAGATCAAAAGTTCAGAACTGCCAAAACTCTTGATAACATGAAATTTTTTTCCCATTCAATAGAAGTCAATACTACTTCCGGTTCTTAATATAAGAGCTAGTTTGACATTCAATTTATTTTTAAATATAAGACCCTAATCCACTTTGTCTTTTATTTTTATCCATTTGTCCTAAGATAGTATTTGTAATAGTTGCACATATTAAAAAGTTTCATCAAATAATAGTTCTAACTAATACATATTATTAGCAAGGATACTTAAGGGAAGAAATAACTAATTTAACTAATTTTCTTAATCTACTCAAATTAAGTAATTAGCTTTTGTTTCAAAGATCGGAGGTAGTATAATGTAGAGTTCAACATGAACATGGCATTCTACACAACAAAAAGATCGATCGTGATAAAAATATAATACCCATAGGAGCCATTCAAAACGGGCAAAACTGGGATTCTGATTTTACCGCCACCATTAACCATTCCAATGTTGCTACAGCCTTACTGGAATAACAAATGTCCTCATATCTTGACTCCCACAAAAACGTTCCAGGTGGAAAACCTTTGCACGATCACGTAATTTTTTCCCCTGCGCTTCTAGAAAACCTTCCATTTCCATAGCAGTACCCAATCCTTTACCAGATCATCTACTACATGCTCTTCCTCTTAACAAATTTACTTTTCCTCTCATTACTTATCCTTAGTTGAGAACGCAAAATCTTAGGCAAATTAAAAAAATCATCCCAAAAGAATTTAGAATAAACCGCCAACACATTTCCACGATCCACCACACATGTACCATGAACCACTCCATTTCTTACATTCCATATAATATAAAGGACCATATTGAGACCTATTGTTCAACTCCACCTGTGCCCCATCTGTGACATCAACTTGTGCTATTCACCTTCGAATACACATAATTAAACCCTTCAGATCCATAATTTCATATCTAACATTTATATGCGTTCAAAACTAGAAAGCTGTAGATAACTGACAATAGTATGCTTTAACATATTCCAATATGGATGACACATACACACGTACCACACGCACCCACAAACACACACGCATGCGCATGCACGCACACCCACACATGCACCCACAAAATAGTTGATCACTGAACCATATAACAGGGGAAAAATGTGGAGATCAAAAGTTTGGAACTTTCAAAGTTAATTTGGCCTATTTTAACTATTTAAGCTTAGGCGTTTAATAATAAGTTATTCATGATATTACTAACAGGACTAGGTTTGAATAATTTCAGGTATTGGTGTACTCTCAATGCCCTATGCATTTTCTCAGGGAGGGTGGTTGAGTTTAATTCTGCTACTTCTCGTTGCAGTTCTCTGTTGGTACACAGGGCTGCTTCTACATCGGTGTATGGATGGACACCCCCACATCAAATCCTACCCTGATATAGGAGAGGAGGCTTTTGGGTATAAAGGCAGATTCATAGTATCCATTTTCATATACCTTGAGCTATATCTGGTGGCCACAGGGGTTCTTATATTGGAAGGTGACAACATGGACAAGTTATTCCCAAACATGGGCTTTAAAGTTTGTGGCCTAAAAATTGCAGGGAAGCAAGGCTTTGTGATTCTCACAGCCGTAGTGATATTACCAACCACATGGCTCAAAAGCTTAGGGATTTTGGCCTATGCTTCTGTTGGTGGTGTTCTAGCTTCAATTAATCTAGTTGGTTGTATAATGTGGGTTGGAGCTTTTGATGGTCCAGGGTTTCATGAAAGAGGAAAAATGGTGAATTGGGGAGGATTGACTACTTCCACTAGTCTCTTTACATTTTGCTATTGTGGCCATGCTGTGTTTCCGACCCTACGCAGTTCCATGAAACATACAAGCCAGTTTCCTAAGGTAAAATATTGTCATGCAAAATTTACAAGATTAAAATTTGAAAACAGAAAATTTTAACTAGATTCCCTTATCATCTTTAATAATCATAATCTCTCGCATTTTTATTTGCACATTTGAGGATAGAATTGAATTACTTATTTGTTCAATTGCAGGTTCTGCTTGTTTGCTTTATCTTAAGCACCATAACCTATGGACTAATGGCCATCATAGGCTATATGATATTTGGAGAATATTTGAAGTCTCAAGTGACCTTAAATCTTCCAGCAAGAGAAATAAGCACCAAAATAGCGATATACACTACGTTAGTTAACCCCTTAACTAAGTATGCAATTTTAATTAGTCCAATTGCTAATGCTATTGAGAGCAAAATGCCATTTCATAAGAAGAGCAGGCCTATTAGCATAATCATTAGAACAAGCATTTTGACAAGCACAGTAGTGGTTGCGTTATTCATTCCTTTTTTTGGATACCTCATGGCTTTTACTGGTGCTTTCTTAGGTATTACTGGCTCACTATTGCTACCTTCCCTGTGTTACCTAAAGATCAATAAGGCTGCTCAAAGATTTGGTTTTGAGTTGATTATCATTATAGGCATTCTGCTGATCGGACCGTTCATTGCTATGATGGGTACCTACAACTCTGTGAGGCAAATAGTGAATCATCTTCATAAGCCTTGAAAGTCTACTGAATGCAAGATTGTTGCGTTCCATGCAAAAGAATTTTACAAAGATCAATAAATACATGTAACAACTCTTGCAACTTGTTTTGTTAACCAGCTATAAACAACGCATACAAGTGTTAGTTGTGACTGATGCTAGCCAGCTTCCCTAACAGCTTCTGACACGTCTCTTTGGAAGAATTTATTGACATGCTATATGTCTAATAGAAATAACTAGAACATCCAAAGGCATCAAATTAATGATTTTGTTATCTAGATGTATTCCCATTTAACACAACAATCTAGAATATATGGTGGAGGTTTGATAGAAAAGGAAAAGAACCCCACTTTGTTGGGAGATGACATGGAAACAACATATAAATAATGTAACAAGGCCTCACTAATATATATTGTCACCCCTTTTGACTTTACTTTGGAATACCCACTTAGCTTTATGCAATTTTTATTAAACCAACAATTCTATTAGATCAAATGATGTCATCCTATTTGACATTCTAAGTGGCACCCAAGTTGGTATTCGACATGGCAATTAAATCTTATATGGAAACTAAGATGGCATCCAAGTTAGTGATGAAAGTGTTATCCTACTTGGCAACTAAGTCATATGTGGCATTTTTAATCGTCAAGATAATCACACTATCATTCAAGTGAAGGAAAGCCCAAAATAAAAAAGGCATATTCAAGAGATTACAACATGTATTTGCATCTCAAATGAACAAATTGAAGGCATATAACACAACTATAACCTTGGAGGAGGTAATTTGGGCCATTATGTTTCATATTTAGGTCAAAATGCATGTTTTAATGTACCAGGACAATTCATAAGGATGAATAGTAGTTGGAAGACTCTTCATTTAAAGTTTGCATGAAGTTAAAAGAGGAATTACTTGTAGATCAAAATGCTTATTTTGTTTCTAAGCCATGTTATTTTTCCTATGTAATTTTATTAATTAAAAGAGTCGTTTACTCTAAAATTTCTAGTTTTGTACATTTGATTATGTGGAAGTTGAATTATCTTAATTGTACCTTTTTTTGTCATATATTACTCTAGAGTTACTTACGAAAGTCGTTTAACCATTTACGGACTACTAGTGACCCAAAAGTACCCTAGGTAAGCTGAAAATTTAAAAAACTTTGCTTAAAACTTTGGATATTACTTCGTTCGTTAGAGTGAAATTTTCTAAAAAAAACTTTAAAAACTAATAACTAATTTAATGTAGCTTCAAAATTAGTGGTTTGAAGCCTTAAATTAAGGCCTTGCAAAGCTCTTTAAAGGGAAAAATAAGACCTGGGTTAAGCTTTGTCCCATTTCATCCAAAAACTATCATTTACTGAAACTGGACAGGGTAATTTCTTAGCAATTTCCCAGTTTTTTGATTCATGTTAGGATAATTATTTATTTTAATTTACACATCCAAAAATTATGAAGTAGGACTCATTTTAAAGTTCTATATGTGTATTCTGATGCTACAAAATATCAGGGTCCAACTTGCACATTTTCTCCATCAAATGTCCTTTCCAAAATCATAGCTCAAACTAAAATCGCATCTACACTTACCTAAAGTCGTGCTTGATTCTTTTTGTTACATTCTGAATTTTGGGCCTAAAAGTATCGAAATTAGCCTAAATTGGACAGGCTATAAGACTGTTTTTGGAAGAGGTCCCAGAGATTCTCTAGAAGGACAGTAGGATTCCCAGGGACTAAATTGTAAAAGAAAAGTTTTTTGGAACTGAGAAAAGAGGAAGTTAGAGACTTAGAAGAAGTCTCGGGGCCCAGAAATGAGAAATAGAGATAAATGTAGGCCAAAGGTTATGTTGGAGGCCTCAATGAGATGAATTTTGAGGTTAAGCCAAACCAGGGGTAAAATCATAATTTTATAAAGTTGTGGGCTGGTAAGGGCAAAAATAAAAATTATGCCTGAAAATCCCAGAAAATAGAAAATAGTAGGTTAAGGCCTGGATACCTTAGAAAAATTACGAAAAAATAGGAATAAGGTTCGGAGGACTGTATGGGGCTAAAAATGACAGAAATGCCCTTGGAAGGAATTTGTGGAATTCCTAGGGTTTTGACTGATTTGGAATATTATTGAAAATGAATTATTTAAAGTATAGGGAGGCCTCAGATAATTAGAAGAAAATGGGAGAAAATATTTGAAGAATTATCACAGGTTTTAAAAATAATTATGTCCCCAAAACCTAGAGAGGTTGGCTTTAATAGAATTTAAAGCCTATTTATATACTATCTAGGAAAAGTCAAAGTCAAAAGTCTAGATGTTGACTTTGGACTTAAGAAAAATTAGAGGAATTCCCCGTGATGAATAAATAGTATTGGTACCTGAAGATGGATTCTTGGAGTTGTGGACTAGTAGAAAGAATTCGGTCAAGATCACTCCGAAATAAATATTATTAATTATTCTAATTATTTTAGTGGAAGAACAAGGAAGAGCATCACTCCCTCTTTGAGCATGTTGTATAATGCCATGTGAATTTATTTGAGATGAGAAACTGGTGCCATAACATGTCCTAGTGGTCCCGGAAAAGTCAGGGCCGGAAAAAGTACCCTATATGGTGTAGAATGACAAGATAGGTGGAGGAATACCTAAGGGTTGTATTTTACACGAATTTTATATTAATTTTCTCCCTATTTAATGCCAAAATGATGAAAGAATATAGAGGAGACAAGTGTACGGTTAGATGGGAAAAGAAGGTATTACGTGTACAGCTGGATACAAGACACGTGTACGGTCAGATGCAAGACACGTGTACGGTTGGATTAAAAGCATATGGATTGATGATGTAAGTATGATGTCACCAAAATGATGTAAGCATGATGTCATGGGACACTTGTCACCACAAGATTAAAAGAGAAAATGGACGGCCTAGATCAAGCCACGTATTTGTAAGATCAACCGCTGAGATTCAGTCTTGTTTTCTATAAATACACCCTCCCCTCCCTCATTTCCAAGGAACAAAAAACTGGACCGGACACTAAACTAGTTGAGATAATGGTTCAAGGGTCAGTGGGTCAGACCGGGGTCAACTCGGGATCAAACCGGTCATATAAAAATAATATAATTTGATTGAAAATAACAAAATATAACAATACTAATAATCACTAATAACAAAATATAAGGAAATACAATAATAATTTGATTGTAATAATAATAAAGTATAACAATATTGAGAATTTTGATCTTTATAATTCCTCGATAACTAAAATTAATAGCTATTGATACCAAAATTATCATTAAAAGTCATTTAAATATATAATAAATGAGATATTAGAAGCTGAATGAAAAAAAATATGACAAATAGTAATATAATTATTCAAACCGGTTCATTACCGGTTCACACCGGTTTTTACCGGTTTTCATCGGTTTAATCCGGTTCCCGGTTTAATCCATGAACCAGACCAGACCAATGATCGGTTTACCAATTTTCCAGTTGAACCGGCTGGTCTGATCAGGTTTTTTGTACTCTGCTCATTTCCGTCCTAACCTCATGGAAACCTTGGAGAAGTTCTGGGAAAATGGTTTCTAGAGAGTGTAAAACCCTCTTCCTTAAACATCAATACTCTTCATAAGACCACTACTATAGTAGAAAAGGAAAGTTGTTAATACGAGCTACCATAGTAGAAGGAAAATTTCATATTTTTAGAAATTGACTTTCAAACTCGAGTCAACCCGATAGACGTTGCATGCAACTAAAATAATCCATTGACATCTACTGGGCCTCCGAGCCTCCGGCCCGGGTAACACATACATCAAGACAGCCCATCCAAATAGGTTTTCCACCAAGTAAAACAAATTCCATGAAACAATAACAATGGCCTCCGGCCAACTAAACAAGGAGATAACGTATCCTCCAATTTACAATAGATCAACAATCAAAATAACACAAAAGACCCTAACTGTGGCAATATACAACAGATCATACATAGACAAAAGCAAGAGGCCCACAGCTAACCAAGCTCAAGCCTCTGCGTCTCTTCCCGAAGGTGCACGCCTAGAACCTTCTCCTGAAAACATTGTAAACCACGGGGTGAGACAAAGTCCCAGTAACCAACCTTTCCAATACTAGGTACTACTAAGTAGGTGCTCGTGAGGTGTCAAGTGGGGCAGTTCACAAATAATACATAATGATAGCCACAACAATTTATGCAAGTGTAATGATGCAATCCCATCAACCAAATCCCTCACTTTGGGGGATTTTCAGGAGCCGAACCCGGCCTATCCCTCACTATGGGGGACGTAAGGAGCCCTAAAGGCCTATCCCTCACTCTAGGGGACGTAATAAGCCCGAAGGCCTATCCCTCACTATGGGGGACGTAAAGAGCCAACCATCATGCATTAATGGAGGCCTTACCACGTGGTAGTAACAGACAAAACTCTCACCAATTTCCCAATTAATGCATCATGCTCAAATCATAATCAAGAGTAATAATCATTTCACAAATAACCTCATTCAGTGGCATATCTTTCACAATTCCACAAATTCATTCATCATAAATCCAAACCCCACAAGACGGTTTTCCATTTTTATATACAACATATAATTTGAACACAATTACTATTTGGAGCACAAAACACAAATCTACTCACGATACCACAGAAGCAAGTACTAAGGATTGGAAAGTGGTTACCTCTCGCCTGAGCAAGGAACAACAAACCAACGATGTGGCCCCGTGCACCACCGAGACTCACAACCGGTCTACACAAGCACACAAACACACAACCATCATATATTAGTTTTCAAACTAATAATGTGGCCAAAACAACACTTGGGGACACAAAATTCCTATCTCCCATCAAAACTCTACCCAACTCAAAGGGTATAACTATCAAAACAACACTCCAAAGTCCTCAAAGTCTATTAAAACATCAAGTCCCCTTCCAAGCATCAATTAGAGTTCAAACCTCAAGGACCCACTATAGGAATTCAACCTCCAACAACCCATTTGAGCAATTAAGGTTCCAACAACAAATCTAAACCGATTAA